TATATATTATTTATAAAAAATTAGAGAATTAAGTCAAAGGACTCTAAGAATACACATTCCGTATGGACAGATTAAAATGTACAATAGCTTCAAAAATCCGTAAAGTTTTCTACACAGTGATGCGTGTAGTAAGTGCAAAAATACTGCAGTTTAGCTAATCCAAGATTTCCTGTTTTCCTGTTTCCTAGAAAAAGCAGAAGCCGCTCCATCTCCCGAATGGCAGAAGACTTCTTCTCCTGTTTTAGGAGCGGATGATGAGCCTTGAAGCACAGAACTTTTCCGTTTCTCTGAAGTGGAAGATGCCTGAGACCGTGAAGTGCTACTCCATCTCCTTGCGGAAGCTGGTGCTTTGCTGAGGCGCCCAGGACGAACAAAGACACCGTGTCGTGGTTTGCAGTGGAAATACTCTCTGCCTTTTACAGTTCCATCATGCTTCCCTTCAATGACAATAAATGCACAGAATTAATGGTTGGTACTTTCATTAGCACAGACAATTGCAGCATTGAAGTGTAAGTACCTTTAGCTATCTGTCAAATAGTCAAGGTTGTTAATGCTGAGTGATGAAGCCAGATGCATACCATACACTAGGGAGAACAAAACCTGGAAAGGAGGGCTTGAATTGTGACCAAAAAGATGATTTCCTAAAATATTATTTCGTTAACTAACAGTTTAAAAAGTCCGGCATTTGTTCATTTTACAAAATAAACTACCCTCAAAACCAATTGCTTACAAAGCTTAAAACTTAGCTGCCAGAGAAACTTCTAGTATCAGTGTTAGTATCTATTAAACTACTAAAAACAATCTTTTTAAAGGTCTGAAGCATTTCTGTAGGAGTCTCTTAACACTTGCTGAGCACTGACTTTTTCTGACCCCACCGAATTGAAGTTAAAGAAAACCTGTGCTCTGTAATTAAGCTTTCCCTGGGGGGGGGACGGGGGACGGACAGGACGGACACAGGAAATATCTCTGAAAAGTACAGACAGCAAACCTATCTGACAAGTGATATCCACTTAGTACTGCCCACAAACATGCATGTTGATTTTAAAAAAATCTGCCAACTTTAGGCTTTGCTTGTTTTTCTGATCTATAAAAATAGATGGGTACCAACGGGAACTACCACAACACACAAAACAACACACAAAAGCATTATTCTGCATAAAGCAAGAAGAACAGGGCTTTAAGACAGTGAAAAAATTAATCAAAACAGAAAGCCTAGAATTGGGTGTTTCAGATACCAAGCTTACGTGAAATTGGAAGTACTTCCCAGGACCGAACAGCATACGATTGTAGTGCGACTTTAAAAATAGATCACGCTAGCTGCATAGATAACCCAGAGCATATTTAGTCTTACCCAGCTGAACATTTAGTTCAACTCCAACCCAGATTCCAGCTGAAAAATCCACCGTTCCAACGTATCTCACCGTGCCCATCTTATTACTTCCAACACAGACTTGTTCACCCACGGCCACCCAGCTAGGCAAGACGTGGGCTTGATCTGCAGAAGCACCTTCTTCACAATCGGAACCATCCAAGTGGTCCTTCCCAATAAAATCGTCTACGGAAGTATCAGGGTAAGTCTCAGGGTCTGAAGTCTCTTTTACCAGTACAGAACAAAAAGGGCTTTCCGCAGCGCCTGCAAGCCGGTCGCCTGCTGCTGCTGCAGAGCTCAGCTGGCCCACGCACGTGCTCTGCTCCTTGTCAGTGCCTCGGGGTAGCTCCGAGGCGCTCACTCCGTTAGAGGACACAAGGGAACACGACTGCAGAGCTGTCGAATGGTCAAAGTCCTTTCCATCTTCAACACCCATGAACTCTGTAAAGGAGTGATCTTCCAGAATGTCCGTCGTGTGCTCAACTGTTGCTTCACGCGCCGAAAATTCAATTGTACGACAGGTATTTTTGCCATCCAAGGAACTTAAAGCTGAAAATGATCCAGCTCTGGGTAACTGCTGAGAGTCTGTGTCAGTGGCATCGAGGGACAGTGGTACTTGTTCCGTTAAGGCACTGTTTTCTTTCAGTGGTAACACCGGTAACTTTTCTCTCACTACCTCCTTTTCTGACTCTCGACATTCCTTGTTCGAAGAGGATCTTAAATCATGTGCAAGAGATGATCCTGAGGGATCATTAGAGTCCAGCTCCTTCGTGTGAGTGGCTAGCTGGTCTGTGCTATCACTACAGGGGACAAGCATGTCAGACAGAGTAGCGTTAGAGGCACTGTGGGAAAAGTAGCCACTAGTAATACTGCTAGTGGTGGGGCTGCGGGATACCTCTTTCTCAAGAACACGTGAACTCATGAAGTCTGATTTAGAAGAAAACCATTCCCTGTTCTCCAGGCTAGCATTGTAAACACTGAAGTCAGCAAACTCCTCCGGTACGTAAGGCCGGAAGTTTTGAAAACTTTGTGGACTTATCAGCTTCTTATTAATGGCCTCCAACTCACTGTCTTCCTCCTCGGAGTCCTGCAAAAGAAGAGAGTGTTGCATGGGATTAGGAACCTACGACAGTAAGTTTTTCAAAATAAACTAACCTTCCTTGATTTTTTCCTTTCTAAACATGGAAGAATATATACCTTTAATATTCCTTAATCGAAGAATGGAAGACACCTCTGAAAAGAACTGCTGGGAACATATCCTGTCTACACTGAGATATTCAATTTTTAGAAAATAAATTCTAAATAGTTCAGAAAATATAAAGCAATAAAGTTTGGCATAGGAAAGCCCACAACATGAAAAAGTTTATGTTTACATATTTTCATCATACTCAATTTTTAAAGCCATAACCCCCCCCCCCCCCCCCCCCCCCCCCCCCCCCCCCCCCCCCCCCCCCCCCCC